TAACAAAGAGTGAAAAATTTAAGGGGGTCTGAATACTTTCCGTACCCACTGTATGTATAAATAAAAAATAAAAAAAATACTAAAGTGATTCAGCGAAGAGCAGTGAGTGATTTTCCTCACACCCACCCCCAATTATTATTATTTTTTTTTTTATTATTATTATTATTATTATTATTATCATTATTATTATTGTTATTATTGCAATTAAAATGAGTCCACACAAGTTGTCATAAAAAACGTGTTCAAATACTTCTTCTTCTTTCGAATTTTCGTTCTGTTCTTAAAAGATTTTCTAAAGCAGACTTCCTGTTTGAATTTCAGAACTTCTCACTGGACAGCGACAGTTGTTTTAATTGTGTATGTCTTCTCTTATACAACTGGAATTTTTATCATTACAGTTTGTTTTGTTAACGATTTAAACATGAACCCACTGAGCTAAGGTTTACTGCTTTAAGGATTTGCTGATTTATTTATTTATTCGTTTATTTTACCGCTTGCAAAATCTTTACACTTGTTTATGTTACGGATAGGCCTATTCAGTGTGTAAACTGATAGTGGACAGTTAACCTGATATTTAAGATAATCTCATCATCACACAAGCCCTTCTTTGCCTCTCTATTCTACTGTGTCGTGTAAGTGCGTTTAAAAAAATACACTTTACAGAGTTTCTATGTCCTTTTATACTTGAAGCTTTTCCTGGAGCAACTTTAATAGCGCACTACAATTCCATTAGAAACCACCTGGAGCCGCTGTTAACCGTGAAAATTTTGCAAGACCAAAAATTACTGGCTTATTTGTATGTCTCCTCCTTCCAAAGCACCAATCTCAACCTTCTCAAATCAGCGGTGTCTTCTGCGGTCGTGTAGTGAACCATGTTCGAGCTGGTTTTGTTTGCTTTGGTTCAGTGCTTATTTGTTTAGTTTAGATCTTGAATTGTTGGTTTTAAGCAGAGATGAATCAATATGTTGGATCTATATGGACTGCGATTCTGCTGTCTTATTGTTGGACTGTATCTTCCGGTCAGATTGCATATTCCGTCTCGGAGGAGGTGAATGTGGGAACCGTTGTCGGAAACATAGCAAAAGATCTTCACATCAGTGTGCAGGAACTGGAGCCTCGTATGTTTCAGATTGTATATGGAACCAACAAAAGGTATTTTGGGGTGAATTTAAAGACTGGGATTCTGTTTGTGAATAATCGAATTGATCGAGAATCGCTCTGTTCGACTGAGCAGAAATGCACGATGCATTTAGAAGCAATGGCCCATAATCCATTGAGCCTGTATAGAATAGAAATAAATATAATTGACATCAACGATAACGCGCCATCGTTTCCTATAAGCAGTCAGATACTGAATATAACGGAAGTCTCGTCTCCTGGAGATAAATTTTCTCTTCCTTTGGCTGAAGATCCAGATTCAGGCAACAATGCGGTTAAAACCTACAAGCTTAGTCCCAACGAGCACTTTTCTCTGGATGTGCAGAACGTCGAACAAAGTGTCACTGTCGAACTGGTTCTGATTAAAGCTTTAGATCGAGAAAAACAGCCTGTCATTCATCTAACACTGACTGCTGTTGATGGAGGGAAACCTGCAATGTCTGGAACATTAGAAATAATCGTTAATGTTTTGGATTTTAACGACAACTCCCCAGTTTTTAGCAAATCTATTTACAAAGTGAAAGTGAACGAAAATATTGCTCTGGGATCCCAAATCATCTCCCTTTCCGCTTCTGATTTAGATGAGGGAATAAATAGTGATATAACATTTTCTATTGTTAAGCAAGGAACTAGCAAAGCATCAGATTTATTTTCAATTAACCCCGACAGCGGACTTATAGCAGTTAAAGGTAATATAGATTATGAAGAAAATGCTGCTGTGGAATTGAGGGTGGAGGCCAAAGATAAAGGCCAACCTCCTAAGAGTTCACAGTGTAAGGTGTTAGTTGAAGTAGTTGATATGAATGACAATCCACCCGAGCTGATGGTGACTTCTTTGGCGAGTACTATTAAAGAGGATTCAAAAGTCGGAACAGCTGTGGCTCTTATTACAATATCTGATAAAGACGGAGGAAAAAATGGAATAGTGCATTGCAATATTGTAGGTCAGGTGCCGTTTAAGATCGAGTCCTCATATAAAAACTACTACTCTTTAGTTGTAGATGGACCACTGGACAGAGAAGAAATTGCGAATTATAATATCACAATAATAGCTTCAGATGAAGGGACCCCTTCACTCTCTAGTACCAGTGTTATCACAGTTCATATATCTGATGTGAATGACAACGCTCCACACTTTCCAGAAGCTGTGATGAACGTATATTTAAAGGAAAACAGTCCAGCAGGTGTCATTATAGCGACAGTGACTGCTCAGGATCCAGATATCAACCAGAATGCTCATATTTCGTATAATATAATTAGCAGAGACAAAACTGTCATTCCATTGGTGTCTATGATTGACATAAATAGTGAGAGTGGAGACTTGTACAGTAAACAATCATTTAACTACGAAGACCTTAAGTCATTTCAGTTTGTCGTTCAGACCACAGACTCAGGTCTAAGCAGTATAAGCAGTAACTTAACAGTAAATGTGTTTATTCTGGATGAGAATGACAACAGTCCGGTTACTTATTCTGATTATTCTGAACCTGGATCAGTTAATAGTGAGAACATTCCCTACTCTGCTGAAGCGGGATACTTTGTAGCCAAGATCAGAGCTGTTGATGCTGACTCTGGATATAACGCACTTCTGTCTTATCATCTAACTGAACCCAAAGGAACGAATCTCTTCCGCATTGGAAGCAGCACTGGAGAAATAAGGACTAAGAGACGAATGAGTGACAATGACTTAAAAACTCACCCACTTCTTATCACAGTGTCTGATAATGGAGAGCCATCACTCTCAGCGACTATGTCCATGGATGTTGTGGTTGTTGAGAGTCTGGATGACATAAAGACATCATTCAGAGAAGTTCCTGTTAAAGAGGAGAGTTTTTCAGATCTGAATCTGTATCTGCTCATCGCTATTGTCTCAGTATCAGTCATCTTTTTACTGAGTCTCGTGGGTTTGATAGCAGTTAAATGCTACAGGACAGACGGCAGTTTCAGCAGGTACAGCGCTCCAGTGATCAGCACACATCCAGACGGAAGCTGGTCCTTCTCTAAATCCACACAACAGTACGACGTGTGTTTTAGTTCAGACACAATAAAGAGTGATGTAGTCGTTTTCCCCTCGTCATTTCCTCCAGCAGACGCGGAGTTGATCAGCATTAACAGTGGAGATACTTTTACGCGCACGCAAACCCTTCCGAGCACTGAGAAGGTAAGACATTGGATATTAGTTCACTTCTACTGCATTTAACTTACAAAAGTACATTTTTTTAAGCAACGTTAATGTAAATTTTTTTTATCTTTTTTTCGTTTAGATGTTTAAAAATAAATAGAAGGAAATTATTTTTTTCTCCCAATATTTCAAGTGTTTAAAAATAAAAGTTCATGCACACCCAAACTGATGTTAACAAGTAAAATACTGGATGCTGTTGATAAAGTGGAAAAAAGAAATATTTCCACGAATTTTTCACATGTTGTTGAGATGATACATTTTAGTTTTGTGAGTTATTCCAGCATCTCGTGACTCTTGGTACATATATATTCGTTTCACTGTGCAGCTTTGGGATTTTATGACATAGTTATTTTACATAGTTATTTGCTTGTATTGCGTTTCTACTTTCTCAGTGACTTTGGTTTTGTACACTGCAAGACAGCGTATATTTATTTATTTTTTATTTATTTTGTATTTCAAATATTTTTTTTTGCATGTTGGAACAATTACATTTTGATACCATATTGCTGTTTGTTTGTTGATTTTTGTTTGTTTCGTGGCTTAACAGTAGCCTGTTTTGTTTTTAAAGAGCAAAAAAAACTTCAGTACCACGGACAGTGTCAGTGACGTCGTATATTCCTTCTCAACATATTCTATTCTATTCTATCCTATTTACATTTTTTATTTTTGTTTCGTAATGACTGCGTAGATTTGAAGGCTTAGATTTGACTTAATTTAGGAGGTGATAAGTTTGGCTCACTCTTTGTTTAAGAGAAAAATGTATGAAGTGACATAATTGTCTCTCCACTTTTACAACACGCGGTGGCACTGCAGACCATGACTTTGAGAGTTATCGGCGCTCCTCCTTTACAGCATCAGAACAAGAGGAAATGCGTTGAAGGCGTGTAAATAACCAAGGCTTATAGTAGCTTCTGCGTCGTGATGTCGGATTGTTTCGACAGAGGTCTGTTTAGTTGTTTCAATCGTTTTTACAGTAAATAATCGCAGGACATTTTGCTGCACAAGAATGGATGTTACAACATATTACAGCTTCTGGATCGTTGTATTTCTGTCTTTATGGGAATCTTCGCTTGGCCAGATTGTCTATTCCGTCTCCGAGGAGGTAAATAAGGGAACTGTGATCGGGAATATAGCAAAAGACCTGAAGATCAGTGCTCAGGAACTAGAAACACGCATGTTTCAGATTATGCCTGCAGGATCAAATGCAAAGTATTTTGATGTAAATGTGAAAACGGGCTCGCTGTTTGTCAACGACCGGATTGATCGCGAGGAGTTGTGTGGCAGCAATCAGAAATGTGCGTTAAATTTAGAGGCTCTTGCTCAAAATCCTCACAGACTCTATCGGCTTGAAATTATAGTCGTGGATGTGAATGACAATGCTCCCTTTTTTCCAGAAAGCACGTATGTTGTTAATGTTACAGAGATTGCAAATGAGGGGGACAGGTTTCCTCTACCAATTGCAAAAGATTCAGATGTTGGCAGTAATTCTCTGAAAGACTACAATCTCAGTTCAAATGAATATTTTTCTTTAGATATTCATAGCGGGCAAAAGAGTATGTTGGCTGAATTAGTGCTACAGAAAGCTTTAGACAGAGAGAAACAAGCTGCTATTCACTTAATACTCACCGCTATTGACGGAGGAAAACCTCCTAAATCTGGAACATTGAGTATTGTTGTTGACGTCATAGATGTTAACGATAATAAACCTATTTTCAGAAAACCTTTGTACAAAGTTAAAGTGAAGGAAAACTCACCGATCGGAACCAAAATAATCTCTGTTTCTGCCAGTGATTTGGATGAGGGCATCAACAGTGAAATTCAGTATTCATTTCTTGGTCATGAAAATACCGATGAAACGAACCGGTTTACAATTAATTCCAAATCAGGGGAAATTGCTGTTCAAGGACAAATTGACTATGAAGAAGACTCTGCAATTGAACTGCGAGTTCAGGCGAGAGATAAAGGCGTTCCTCCAAAAAGTACACACTGTAAAGTTTTAATAGAAGTTGTGGATGAGAATGACAACGTACCAGAAATAGTTACGACTCCTCTGCTGGAAAGTGTGAAAGAAGATGCAAAACCGGGAACTGCAGTGAACTCCGTCTCTTTCCAGCAGCACTGTTATAACTCTACATATCTCTGATGTTAATGACAATGCTCCACATTTCCCAGCACCAGTTATTAACGCTTTTCTAAATGAGAATGGTCAAGCTGGAGGTCTCGTTACAAAAGTGTCCGCTGATGATTCAGACACTGGTGAAAACGCAGAACTTTCATATTCACTGTTAGAAAGTTCCAGCTCCAGTGTTCCTATAACAACACTGATAAATATAAACTATTTAAGTGGAGAAATATTCAGTTTACAGTCATTTAATCATGCTGAATCTGTATCTGCTCATCGCTATTGTCTCAGTATCAGTCATCTTTTTACTGAGTCTCGTGGGTTTGATAGCAGTTAAATGCTACAGGACAGACGGCAGTTTCAGCAGGTACAGCGCTCCAGTGATCAGCACACATCCAGACGGAAGCTGGTCCTTCTCTAAATCCACACAACAGTACGACGTGTGTTTTAGTTCAGACATAATAAAGAGTGATGTAGTCGTTTTCCCCTCGCCATTTCCGCCAGCAGACGCGGAGTTGATCAGCATTAATGGAGAAGATACTTTTACGCGCACGCAAACCCTTCCAAGCACTGAGAAGGTAAGATATTGTAACTTGCTTCTGTAGTGCATTTCACTTCTACGTTTACCCTAGATTTGTAAAATTAACATTTGAAAAACGATTAATTAGATTTTTTTCTAAGGCGTTTTTTTTCCCTTTCTTTTTTTAAGTTTAGACCTTTATAAAACAAATAAAGTATTACGAACAAAAAATTAAGTTTTTTAAATTATTTAAAAATAATAATAAAAAAATACGTGTAGGCTACCCAAACAAAAGATAAGTAAAACACTGGACGCTATTGACAAAGTCGACATATTGCTTTAATTTTTCGCTAGTTGTTAAGATGATACGTTTTAGTTTTGCAAGTTATTTCGGCATCTCGTGGCTCTGGCGTATTTTTATTCGTATCACTGTGCAGCTTTGTTTTCATCTTAAAGTGTGATTTGCTTGTACTGCGTTTCTAATTTCTCTTTGACTTGGCTTTTAAGTGTATACTTTCTTTCTTTCTTTCTTTCTTTCTTCCTTCCTTTCTTTCTTCCTTTCGTTCTTTCTATGTTGTAACATTACCTTGTGATATCATACTACTCTTTGTTTCTTTATTTTTTTTACTGCTTAACTGTAGTATTTTGTAAATCACTTCAGTACCACGGACAGCGAAAGTGACGTTTTTAGTTAATTCGTTTATTTATTATTATTTGTTGCTGATTAGTAATGATTGAGTCGACACGAATTATTATATTTTACTGTTTGAGTATGGTGATACCTTTAGTTCACTTTTTCTTTTATAGAAAACTATATGAAGTAGAATCTCATTGTCTCTCCACTTTTACAACACGCGGTGGCACTGCAGACCATGACTTTGAGATTGATCTGAGCTCCTCCTTTACAGCATCAGAACAAGAGGAAATGCGTTGAAGGCGTGTAAATAACCAAGGCTTATAGTATTACTGCGTCGTATTGTCGGATTGTTTCGACAGAGGTCTGTTTAGTTGTTTCAATCGTTTTTACAGTAAATAATCGCAGGACATTCTGCTGCACAATCATGGATGTTACAGAATCTTTAGAAACACGCATGTTTCAGATTATGCCTGCAGGATCAAATGCAAAGTATTTTGATGTAAATGTGAAAACGGGCTCGCTGTTTGTCAACGACCGGATTGATCGCGAGGAGTTGTGTGGCAGCAATCAGAAATGTGCGTTAAATTTAGAGGCTCTTGCTCAAAATCCTCACAGACTTTATCGGCTTGAAATTATAATTATAGATATGAATGACAATGCTCCATTTTTTCCGGACAGCACCTATATTCTCAATGTTACAGAGATCGCAAATGAAGGGGACAGATTTCTTCTTCCAACTGCAAAAGATTCAGATGTTGGCAGTAATTCTCTGAAAGACTACAATCTCAGTTCAAATGAATATTTTTCTATAGTTGTTCACAGTGGGCAAAAGAGTATGTTGGCTGAATTAGTGCTACAGAAAGCTTTAGACAGAGAGAAACAAGCTGTTATTCACTTAATACTCATCGCTATTGACGGAGGAAAACCTCCTAAATCTGGAACACTGAATGTTGTTGTTAATGTCATGGATGTAAATGATAATAAGCCTATTTTCAGCAAACCTTTGTACAAAGTTAAAGTGAAGGAAAACACACCAATTGGAACCAAACTAGTTTCTGTTTCTGCCAGTGATTTGGATGAGGGCATCAACAGTGACATTCAATATTCATTTCATGGAAATACCGATGAAATTAACCTGTTTAACATAAATTTTAATACGGGGGAAATTGTTGTTCAAGGTCAGATTGATTACGAGGAACACCCTGCAATTGAACTGCGAGTTCAGGCGAGAGATCTGACATAATTACTACTAATTTGACCATAAATCAATTGACAGTTTCGAAATATGTTTTGTTTTTTGTGGTTGACTCAACTATAGTGTGACGCTGTGTCATCGATCAGCACCATGGACAGTAGAACATTAATACGTATTCTAGCGTGAAAATTTTACATTTCTGAGGTATTTTACATGTAATTCTCCATTTCTGGCACGGTACGATTATTATGATTTATTATACTTTTATTTTTAGTCTTGGTTAATTTTGGTTTGTATTTAGTGGTGTAATTTCGTTCCGAAAGCATCATGTGTTTCTATGGATTTGGAATGGAATTGGAAATGGAATACTCCTGTTATGGCATAATTTCAGCACGTGGTGTCACTGCAGACCGTCAGTTAAAGGGTTATAGACTAGCCTACTCTAATACCAAGGTTCTGAGACCGAAGCTTCAGTGTATCTGTCGTTGAGACATGATGGTTTCTATTTCGTCTCGTGTTTCCTGAATGCAAAAGAAAAATACTGGATTCTCTCGCGTTTACCTTTTTTTATGCCACCAAGCCACTTGTGAATGGTCATCATGGTCTTAATGGGATATTTCGAGTGTGGATTTATATTTTTCCTTTCTTTGCTGGATTCTGCGTCTGCTCAAATCTTCTATTCCGTACCGGAAGAGGTAAATAAAGGGACAGATGTTGGGAATATAGCGAAAGACCTGAACATAAATGTTCACGAACTGGAATCTCGTATGCTTGAGATTGTGACTGGATCAAATAAGAAGTATTTTGACGTAAATCTGAAAACTGGCGTTCTGTTTGTTAATGACAGAATTGACCGTGAGGAGTTATGCGTGTCGAATCAGAAATGCTCTTTGAATATAGAGGCCCTCGCTAAAAATCCTCACCATCTTTACAGGGTGGAGATTAAGATCTTGGATATAAACGACAATGCGCCACATTTTCTTGTTAAAGAATTTACTATGAATATTACCGAAAATGCAAGTCCAGGAGAGAGATTTCCTCTCCCTGTGGCCGAGGACTCTGATGTTGGCAATAATTCGCTGAAAGAGTACAAACTGAGTCCGAATGAACATTTCAGTCTAGAGACACAGAGTGAAGACCAGAGTGTGTCTGCTGAGTTAGTGCTGAATAAGGCTTTAGATCGAGAGAAACAAGCGACAATTAAGTTAGTGCTAACCGGTGTAGATGGAGGAAAACCACCTAAATCGGGAGCGTTAAATATTATTATAAAGGTAATGGATATTAATGATAATAACCCAGTGTTTAGTCAACATCTTTACAAAGTTAAACTAAAAGAAAATGTTTCTGCTGGTACTAAAGTTTTATCTGTGTTTGCTTCTGATTTGGATGAAGGCATAAACAGTGACATTGTGTACTCATTTGTGGATCATGGAAAGAAGCAAAACTTGTTTACCATTATCCCCGAGACAGGAGACATTGTTGTAAAAGGACATATTGACTTCGAGGAGAATGCTGCTATTGAATTGCGAGTTCGTGCAAGAGACAGAGGCAATTCCCCAAAGAGCACACAATGTAAAGTGCTAATAGAAGTTATGGATGAAAATGATAATGCACCAGAGATAAATGTTACTCCTCTGCTGGAAAGTGTGAAAGAAGACACAACGTCAGGAACCGCAGTTGCTTTAGTCACAGTGTCTGATAAAGATGGAGGTAAAAACGGCATTGTACACTGTGCTCTGAAAGGCTCGTTTCCTTTCAAACTGGAGACGTCATATAACAATCATTATTCTCTAGTGGTAGATGGACCTCTGGACAGAGAGAGTGCTTCTCTGTATAACATCACAATTACAGCTGCAGATGAAGGAACTCCGTCTCTTTCCAGCAGCACTGTTATAACTCTAGATATCTCTGATGTTAATGACAATGCTCCACATTTCCCAGCACCCGTCATTAACGCTTTTCTAAGTAAGGTACTTTTACGCGCACGCAAACCCTTCCAAGCACTGAGAAGGTAAGATATTGTCATTTGCTTCTGTATTGCATTTCACTTTTACCGCACCTGTTTTGTAAAATTAACATTTGAGTAACTATTAATTAGATTTATTTCTAAGCTATTTTAACTGTTTTTTGTTTTTGTTTTCTTGGTTTATATGTTTATAAAGTTTAGATGTTTATAAAATAAATAAATTATTATGAACTAAAAATGAAATTTTATTTTAAGTATTTAAAAATAAAAATTTAACGCTTACCCAAACAAAAGATAAGTAAAATACTGGACGCGATTCACAAAGTCGAAATATTGCTTTAATGTTTCACTAGTTGTTCAAATGACACATTTTAGTTTTGGAAATTATTTCGGCATCTCGTGACTATGACGTATGTTTATTCGTATCACTGTGCAGCTTTGTTTTCATCTTAAAGTTTGTTTTGCTTGTAGCCTACTGCGTTTCTAATTTCTCTTTGACTTGGATTTTGTACACTATACGACAGTCTATATTTAATGACTGTTTCTTTCTTTATTTCTTTCTTTCTTTCTTTTTATGTTGTAACAATTACCATGTGATATCATACATTTTCATTGCTCATCTGTAATATTTCGTATTTAAAGAACAAAACCACTCCAGGACCATGGACAGCAATAGTGCCGTATTTTCCTTCTCAAGGTACATATGTGCTTAAATACACAGCACGTAGTCTTTTAATTAATTCATTTATTATTACTTGTTTTTGTTGATTAGTAATAATTGAGTCGACACGAATGTGTATGTTTTACTGTTTGAGTATGGTGATACCTTTAGTTCACTTTTTCTTTTATAGAAAACTATATGAGGTAGAATCTCATTGTCTCTCCACTTTTACAACACGCGGTGGCACTGCAGACCATGACTTTGAGATTGATCTGAGCTCCTCCTTTACAGCATCAGAACAAGAGGAAATGCGTTGAAGGCGTGTAAATAACCAAGGCTTATAGTATTACTGCGTCGTATTGTCGGATTGTTTCGACAGAGGTCTGTTTAGTTGTTTCAATCGTTTTTACAGTAAATAATCGCAGGACATTCTGCTGCACAAGAATGGATGTTACAAAATATTACAGCTTCTGGATCGTTGTACTTCTGTCTTTATGGGAATCTTCGCTTGGCCAGATTGTCTATTCCGTCTCCGAGGAGGTAAATAAGGGAACTGTGATCGGGAATATAGCAAAAGACCTGAAGATCAGTGCTCAGGAACTAGAAACACGCATGTTTCAGATTATGCCTGCAGGATCAAATGCAAAGTATTTTGATGTAAATGTGAAAACGGGCTCGCTGTTTGTCAAAGACCGGATTGATCGCGAGGAGTTGTGTGGCAGCAATCAGAAATGTGCGTTAAATTTAGAGGCTCTTGCTCAAAATCCTCACAGATTTTATCGGCTTGAAATTATAATTTTGGATATCAATGACAATGCTCCATTTTTTCTGGACAGCAATTATATTCTCAATGTTACAGAGGATGCAAATTTGGGGGAAAGATTTCCTCTACCAATTGCAAAAGATTCAGATGTTGGCAGTAATTCTCTAAAAGAATACAAACTCAGTTCAAATGAATATTTTTCTTTAGATATTCATAGCGGTCAACAGAGTATATCTGCTGATTTAGTACTACAGAAAGCTTTAGACAGAGAAAAACAAGCTGTTATTCACTTAATACTCACCGCTATTGACGGAGGAAAACCTCCTAAATCTGGAACACTGAATGTTATTGTTGACGTCATGGATGTAAACGATAATAAACCTATTTTTAGCAAACCTTTGTACAAAGTTAAAGTGAAAGAAAACACAATGATTGGAGCCAAAATTATTATTGTTTCTGCCAGTGATTTGGATGAGGGCATCAACAGTGAAATTCAATATTCATTTGTTGGACATGGAAATACAGATGAACTGAAACGGGTTACAGTAAATTCTAACTCAATCCAGACGGAAGCTGGTCCTTCTCTAAATCCACACAACAGTACGACGTGTGTTTTAGTTCCGACACAATAAAGAGTGATGTAGTCGTGTTCCCCTCGCCATTTCCGCCAGCAGATGCAGAACTGATCAGCATTAATGGAGAAGATACTTTTACGCGCACACAAACTCTTCCTACTGGGAAGGTAAGATCGTTGGGATTTTTTGTTGAATAATTAATTTTTCGAGGTGAATTATTGTTCTCAACTGTTCGAAATTAATTCTTAACAGTTGCCATAACAGTGGGTTTGGTATTTACCACGTGGCTGTCTTGTTTTCAATTAACCTATTTTAAATTTGTTTTGATTCATTTAAATTTTAATTTAGGCTCTTTTATGGTCTTTGAATAACGTACTTTGATCAATTCAACCAGTTATCACGAGAAATCTTAGGCACTTAAAGGATGTTGCAAGCAAGTTGTAGTTTCTTACGAATTTGCAAAATGTGATTCTAAGGAAAACGTGCAATTTATAATAAAAAGTAAGCTGCAAGCCTAACTACATCCCTCAGTGTGGCATAAGCATGCTGTAGAAATGTCGCTAATTTGCCAAAAACCTGTAATAGATGCGAATTTTCATGAGACTGTGTTAAATTAATCGGGTCTGTCTGGAGGATGTTTTAAAATGTTTTTCACATTTTAATGCATTAGATTAAACACTGTGTTTAAAACTAATGTAGCCTAATAAAAAAATAAAAAAAACAATTACGAAACAGAACATCTATAGGCTGTGTCAAGAAAACGCACATGATAGGCAATAATAGGAAATTAAAATTAAAATACAAGATGCAGCGGCGAAAACGAAGACTAATCTCTATTACTACTACTAATACTACTAATACTACCCAGGTGAAAAAGAAATATATTTAAATTGTGCTTTTTCAGACATACTTACTATATTTAAATTATACTATACTAAGTGCATATTAAATGTATTATTTTGAAACAACTTTAAGTATATTAAGTGTATTTCAAGATATGTTTAAGTTGGATTTTAATCTATTTGTAATATATTTAATATATTGAAATTGTTTTAAATTGGAACCACTTTAAGTATATTTAGTGCAATTTAAGTGTATTTCTTAAAATACATTTAAAATGTCCTTTTAATACTTCATGAACTACAGTTAGAGTATATTTGAAGCATTGTTTTAATGTACTTCAAGTACATTTCAGTTGTATTTCAGCTCATTGGAAATGCATTAGCCTTACACTACTAGTATATTATAAAGCTGCTTTTTTCAGTATATACACACACACGCACACACTTTGATATCTAGAACACTTTAATGTATTATATATTGTTGTGTACATTACAAATATTCATAAAGTACACTAAAAAAGGACAGCAGCATATATACTTTGGTGAAAAACAAAACAAAACATACTATTAAATGTATTAAAAATGCACTTGAAATACAAGTATGTTTATAGTATATTTGTATTACTACAGACATACTCAAGTACATTTTAATACATTATAAAAAAATATAAATAAAAAAAGACTGAAAAGCTATGGCAGAGCTATCTTTTCCATTTGTAGAACATTTCAGTTATACCGGCCTCACTAAAAAGTACAGAATTTTACATCAATGAATAAATAAAAATTACAATGCAATTTTCTGAAGAAAAAAAATACATAAAAAAGACTGAAAAACAAAGTGAATAGCTGTGCGTGTGCAAAGACTGAAGATGATAAAGTTCAAGCAACAGAATAGGGAGGGATGGAGGGGGTTTTGGAGGTGGACAAGGAGATGGCGTAGGGATGGTGAGAGGCAAAAGTGCGGGGATGATGGCAGGATGTGGCGAAGGCAGCTTAGACAACTTCATTTTGCAAATAAAAGAATGTTAATGTTGTACATGTTATAATGACTAATTTATTTTATTATTTTTTTTCTGCCAATGCATGTCAAAAACACGACTGGCACAGACAAATAACGTTAATTAAATCTTACCTGAAGTCAC